GTATGTATGTATGTATATATATAAATGCATGATAAGTGGTCTTCAGTGCTTAGTCAACTATCGTTTACATTGATGTGATTCATTCACCAATAGTGTCAATGCATCGGCGTCTCTTGAAAACATTGCGAGTCACCGCGATCTCCTCCGAATCATCCATTTCGACGATTTCGATAGTCTTCTTGCTCATCTGCGATATCTTTGATTCGAGAAAGTTGTAGAGCTTGATTTTCATATTATTCAGGTGCTCGATGTATTGATCTCTATCCTTGGTCTGAACAAAAGTGAGATTGTCGGTTTTAAATTTCACCTCGTCATGAAGCTTGTAAATGATAGTGGGCTCAATGGTAGCGAGCTCTTCCTTTGTATCTTTCAGACCCTTCTTGACAGCGGCCATATCAGACGATTTGTGCGATATCACAGTGTACAGATTCGACTTTTGTGTTTTCAATCTCTTTATTTCCTTTTTCAAATCCTGCGAAAGAAAATATGCCCGGTGTGTGGCTTGCAGCTGTTCAAGGTACTGATCTCTCATACGATTCAACACATTTTCTTGAACTCGAATTTAATTCTCACGGGCGTTGACTTTTGGTACCAGCAAACTATGAAAATAGATTACTATTTGTTGCATGTCATTTACAACTTGAGAACTTCTCACCACCTTGAAATAGAATTGCTTTTGATCGCCTTCTCAAGTATAGGCAGATACTTTCGTGTTGCATCAGGGGTTGCGGGGTTATATTGTGACTGAACGTTGATTGGTACTGCCATTGCGGCATTAATCCATTGTCTAAGCTCGGGTTTTTTGCCCAACTCGAAAGGAAGATCGTTCTTGGCTACAAAAAAACTCAGTATAAATCAGCTAGCCTTGTTGAGGCAGTGTATCTCAGCTGTGGTTGTTTGCTACATTAACCAAATTTCCAATACAACTCTGCTGATGGCCTTTCTTGGCCTTTTTTTTCGACCCCTTTAGATACTAGTTTACTAACGTCGGCGTATCATTGTTTGGCGTGCTTCTTCTCATAGTGTATTACAGTATTATTAGCATTCTTGCGATTAAATTTTAGTGCCGTCGCAATACCCACAGGTAGCTTTGTTACAAACGTCACCGTCAACTTTCAACTTTGTGGCTGCGAAATTCAGTTTCCGTTCTTTTGTTGTCCCTCGATAAAGTTTTAAACAGCTATACTGACTTGCGCCCTCAATAGCATCAATGTTAATCGGCTGCACCTTCTTGATAGTTGATCGCACATACTCCGAGTTAGACATAGCCATACCCTTTTGAAAATGGGTGCTGGTGTCAGTATCCGTAGCTGTCGTTCGCCCAGTGTCATCACTATTCTCCGCCATACTAACCTACACTTTTACACTTCTACGCCCAATGCACCAATCAATTAGCTATATAAAAAGTACTGAGAAAACGATTGCATGTTGTAGCAAGTATATAATACACACACACAAAAAGAGTACATCATAAAGGCCAAGGTGCATCATACCCTGAGACCTCAGTCCCTCACACGCGATGAAAATAAGTACCGGTTTTTAAAATTTCTTCAGATCGGTATATATGATTCTTACTAAGCTCTTAAAAAACATTCTTGAAGATGTCGGTATACATGGTTTTTTACATGTTCGTAACCTGCCTTAATTCTTCTTCCTAAATTAAGATATGGAATACTCCTTAAAGGTCCAAAAACGGAGCTTGATACTTCTTAATTCCAAATTCTCAATTTGCTCACCATGCATAAATTTTAAATTTTATTTCTTACGAAAATTACGGCAATTTTTTGTGTAAATTGTTTTCTTATGGTCAGTGTGATACCAAACGATATGAGAGGATTTGAAAAATTTGAGTAGAGTAGCGGACCTGATAAATTGTTAGACTGTCAATTATGAGAGCTTGGAAGAAGTACTTTATTGTGGTGCCTGCTCAAGGCATTTATACTAAGAATTATTTCCGTCATGACTAATTCATGAACAGGGGAAAAAACCCCCTATTAAGGAAAACCCCATTTATATTTTATGTTGTATTTTTTGTTGTCCAATACAAGCTCCCGTATGATTTTAGTACGCTTATATCGGACCTTCATTGGTGACCCGATAATAATTTGTCATTTGCTCGAACATATACAAATTACCAGCACTATCTGCGTATATATATACAATCATCTCGTAGATTGTGGACATCAAGCAGAGCTTACTTGGAGCGCGACCACTTTTATTCTGCTTCGCCCAGAAAGTCCAAAATTACTCCTCAAGTTTTCCATGAAAACCGATGTGGACTTTAATAGCTGAGGTCAATTGACTAATAACAAAATGCGCAATAGACTAAAAGTTTAAGTTAGCTTTTTAAGTCCAGCTATAAATTATTAGTAACTATAAAGTAACTAGTGAAAGTCTGAGGCCTTAGCCATGGGTTCGCATTTTTCTTCTTCTTCGATTTTTCGTTCTTATTTTTCATTCGGAATGGATGATTTTTTTAATTTGATCCCTGCTGGCTCAGTACTGTGTATCGTTTAAAAAGTGGAGTATTAAGCCATTTTAGGTGCTTTTGGTCTACACAAAGATTGAATATGTTCTCTGCAGTAGCGACTTAAACAAGTCGAACCACGGGGCCCGGGGAACCCAAAACAAACACACCGTGGCTGAGGCACCCTCCGCCTTGATCTTCCGTAGCATCCTCTGGATATGTTGCCATGGTATGTTCATCCAACCGTTGATCCTAGACCAATCATGTGCAAATGTGCCCTCCTGAGCGTCGTCTGTCCAGAATCGTTCGAGCTGAGCATCGGTAGGTGTAGCAAACACATCAACATCATTCGGCCCGAATATTCGTTGCGCCTGCTCGAAGTAACTCGGGAATAGCTTCCAACACTCCACGTACATGATCTCTGGCACCTCCATTTCTGTCGTCCCTTCGTGGACTCTGCTCAGCATATCCGGAAGGATATTCTTTTCCCCCGGAATGTGAGAAATGGTGAAGTTAAATGACGCTATAAGATGATGCCATCTCTGCAACATCGGATTCAGCTTAAGCTGGGAGTTCATATATACTATTGCTTTGTGGTTTGTGAACACCGCAAAGCGTTGTCCATCCAAGTGTTCTCTAAAGTGAGTTAACCCATAGACTAGCGCCAGTAGCTCCTTCATCGGTGTAGCATAATTCTGTTGAGCCTGATTCAGGGTTTTACTGAAGAACATAAGGCAGTGTTTCTTCGAGTTCACCCATTGAAATAGAGCTCCTCCCAAACCGAAGTCACTAACATCTGTAAACTTCGATGGAAATTA